ATCGCCATTCAGTATAAAAAGGGAAATCTACATACCTAGAACACAATTCTTATGCATTTACATATCTCACACCTAAACTTTCATGTTTACATACATAGCACTTTGAAGATTTAAACCTCAGCATCAAAAGATGTATTTCACTTTTAAAAAGTATTAATAGCGCTATTTTTTATGTGATATTAAAGAGTTGAGTACTATGTGCCTAAATATGAAAGTTTAGGTGTGAAATATGTAAATGCATAAGAGTTGTGAGTTGTGCATATAAGTGCCCCTAAAAATTCAATTTTTTAAACCAACCAACGTTTCAAAACCGTAACTTACCTTTGCCATGCCTGAAACTACTTTATTCTCTTTAGTGAACTTTCCAATGCTGAATAAGCAGCTTCATCACTCAAACTCTTGCTCTCCCTCGCATAATCAAACACCTCATAGGCTGCTGCAATCTTATTCCCCCTACACAGAGACCTCAAAAAAGTCGCATAAGTGGGACTCTCCAGCTTCATTCCCCCATCAGTCATTGTTTTGTACAGCAGAACACCCTTATCTAGGCTCCCAGCCTTGCAGAGCCCCATAAGCAGAGCATTGTAGGTAAACTCATTAGGGCTGCAACCCCTCTCCTCCATCTCCCCAAGCAATTTTAAAGCCCCCAAAGTGTCTCCTTTCCTACACATTCCGCTGATAAGAGAAGTATAAGTAGCAATATCAGGAAAAAAACCTGTGCTTGCCATCACATTCAAGAATTTCTTAGCCTGTTCAATCATGCCGTACTTAGATAATCCATAGATTAACGTGTTATATGTGACGAGATCCGGCTCGATTCCTTCATCCTTCATTTTGTTGTAGACGTCCATCACCTCCCCGCACTGGTCCAACATGCAGTAAGCTTTCATGATGTTGTTGTAAAGATAGGAATCCGGCTTGATGCCGGAATGCTTCAGAACGCTGAGCAGGCGCGTGGCTTCCCGGAGGTTGCGGCTACGGCAGACTGAATCGATGAGGATAGTGTAGGTGATGCGATCAGGGAGAATATTGGCGGAATTGCGGAGGTCTTCGATGAACGAGTAGACAACGGAGAGGGAGCGGGTTTTAGCGAGGCGGCCGACGAGGAAGTTGTAAGTGAAGGGATCGGGATGGAGGGAGGAATTGCGGAGGAGGAGATTAGCGGCGTCGTCCTCGCGGGAAGCGGAGCAGAGTGCGCGAATGGCGAGATCGGCGGAGGATGAGTCCGGGGGGAAACCGGAGGAGGACATGAGGTCGAGGAAAGTGAGAATGGGGGAGATGTCGCCGATGGTGGGCTGGAGGCAGGAGTGGACGAGGAGGATGTGGTAGGTTGAATGGGTGGGGGAGAAGGAAGGGAAGCGGAGTGAGAGGTGACGGAGGAAGGCGAGAGAG